GGGCCCCGAGGCGTTGTTGCTAAGATTCCCGAGTTACGCTTGAATTCTTCATCCGGAAAAGTTGGATCGCCGGCGAAGAAAACGGGACAACTTGAAACTCAAAACACCCCGAGCATTTTTCGAGCAAATTGTCTTCGTTACGTAGAAATTTCCGACGCGTGACCGCGATGTTTTTCCTCCTGGAAAAGCTGGCTCGAAGCGACTCGGAAATGTTTAACCCTTTTGTGGACAACCGGGTTCTCGAGTACACGTTTCTAATTTACTTATCCTTTTTTTTTACGTTTTCTGGACACGATATCGCAAAATCGTTTCGAATGCTCGTTTTCTTTTTTTGTTTTTTTTTTTTGTTTGAGGTACTTTCGTGATACGTACGCTTTCAGAAACAAATTTGTGAAAAACATTTTAAAGCAAGTTTCGCGTTTCAAACTTGTTTATACGGTTATTGCGCAACCGGAATATCCAGCTGCCCATACGAAGCAGATTGCAGTTTCGTGAATTTCGAGTAATTTTTTATGACAGAATCGCGTGGCGTACATATTTTTTTTTAGTTATTATTTAGTATTTTTATTCATTTTCGTAGATTGGTAAATACAAACGATAATTACTAGTTATTAGAATTATCGCAGGGAGTAATTGTATCTGTATCACTCGTCGCGCATCGGTTTTATGCAATGGCGACAATATTCCTCGGATCTCTTCTTTTTTTTAAATCTCTGAATCACTTTTAGAATTACAAAGTCAGGTACAAAATTTCGCGTAAGATAACGTTTTATTGATTTTCTAAAATATTTAAATTAATATTAATATGAAAAGTATATTTATATTTTTCATATAAAAATCTTTATAATCAGCAGCTCCATCCGCCGAAGTACCGTTTCTGTATATATGTTGTTCCAAGTCTTAAATAATAACTGTGCCGAATAAAACAATCGTTGCTCCGATGTAACAAGTATATTTACATTTTCAATTTAAAAAGACTTACAAAATTATAGGTAACATAGGTATTTATATAATTACAAAGCCTAACGATTAAGCGTTTAATATAATTGATAACGAGACGAAAATTATTAAAAGATAATAATATGTAAAAACTAATAATATAATTCTGTGCGATATATTTGAAAGCAAGGATCTGTACAAAGGCCAACATCGCGATCTTTGCACTCGTACCGCGAATCCGTTCTTTTATCATTTTTGTTGCAAATTACACATCAGCGTCTTCTGTATACGCTTCGTTTCGATGCCGCATACAGGGTGTCTCGAAAATGTCTCGCAAACCAGAAATGGGAGATTCCTGGGGTCATTCGAAGCGACTTCTTCCTTTGCGAAAATTTTCTCCGAGGCTTCGTTTACGAGTTATTAACGAAAAACACTGACCAATAAGAGGCGAGCTCGGCTGGCGCGCGGCGACCCAGCCAACGAGTGCGCGGAGCCCAGTTCCGCTCATTGGCTCGGCCGTCTCGCGTCAAATGATCTCGCCTCTGATTGGTCACTGTTTTTCGTTGATAACTCGTAAACGAAGCCGCGGATTGCATTTTCGCTAAGGAAAAAGTTGCTTCGAATCACCTCAGGAATCCCCTACTTTCGGATTGCGAGACATTTTTGGGACACCCTGTATACGCGGCGCCCGTACCCACAGGTCGTCGAGTGGATGCCGCATATATGCGGCGCTCGGCACGAAAGGGTTAAGCGGCAGATCGGTGCGGCCGCGTTTGGAAACTACGGTCCCCGTTTCTACGGCTCGTCCGACCGCGTCGATCCGGTTATAGCTTGTCGGAAGCTGCTGTTCCCCGCGAAATGAAAAGTATAGTGCCTGACGAGATTTCGCCGGCGACTATTGCGCAGCCTCGAGACAGCCTCGGAGACAGCCTCGGAGACAGTCGCGTTCCATCCTTCTGCCTCGAGTGCTTTTAGTTTGCTGATACGAGCCACTTCGACACGTCCTCGTGCCGGATGCAAACCGTATCGACGGTCGTTTCGGGATCCTACTCGGCGAGCATTCTTCCGGAACTGGGTTAAGACCCGAATTAAATTTTCCCTCGTCCCTGCTCGGCCCGTTTCGTCCCGTTCGGTCCGGTACCCGGGCCAGCCCGGCCCGACCCGGCCCGGCCCGTCCCGTCCCGTCTCGGCCGCGACGAGATCCTATTCGGCTGCACCGGGGCCGAAGGCGAAACGAAATTTCCGAGCCGCTGGCGTAGAAACGGCTGGACGACGTTGTCCGCCGATACGGAACTACGCTAAACCGATCGCCTGGGTAAACTTGACCCTGGTCGGATGCTGCAACCTTGTGTCCGATAACAGAATCTTCGGGAGCTCGTTTCCTCCGACGATGCGCGACGACTTCCCGGGAATACCGCAGCGACGATTTGCTACGAAATCGACGCGTCTCTCGCGACATTTTTTACTTTCTCGACAAATTTCTACCGAAAGAACGTGCGCTTTTCCTCCCAGCATCGACTGGATCGACGGGACTCGTTGAATCAACGGGTTGTAATTTATAATTTTATCTTTTTCGATCCTGAAAATCCTCGTTATACGCTTGTTATCAAAATCTTATCGTCAGTTTATTCACCGATTTTCTCCCGTTAGACGCGAGTAAAGTTCGATCCGTGGTCCAAACATAGTGTGTTAATTTACGATTACTGTGATTGTACAGATACGTTCGTGGATTATTTGTTTAATAAATATGTTACTTCGAGCAAACGATTGCAATAAAAATCGCCGATAGTCCGACTAAATATAATATTAATCTCGTTGGCATACTCGTCGACATGATTGTTTGTTTCAACGGCACTGCGGACAATCGCAGTCGAACGTTAAACAAAACATTTTAAATAACGATCGACTGTCGAGTTAATTCTATCCGTTTGAATAAACATATAAATAAATAAATATTGTTACTTTCATGAAATAATATGAAGCAGTTGCTGCCGGTGCTCCGTAAATCTAGTGTCGCGAGCAACGTTGGTTCGAATTACTTCGTCGTTAACGATTCCTCATCCAGAAAAAAGAAAATTTATATCTGTTCGATGCCAACCAATGATCGGATATCTTGACCTTGACATAACGTTGACATAACCAATGATCGGATATCTTGACCTTGATATAACCTTGACATAACAACCAATGATCGGATATCTTGAACTTGACATAATCTTGACATAACCTTGACATAAACAATGATCGGATATCTTGACCTTGACATAACCTTGACATAACCAATGATCGGATATCTTGACCTTGATATAACCTTGACATAACAACCAATGATCGGATATCTTGAACTTGACATAATCTTGACATAACCTTGACATAAACAATGATCGGATATCTTGACCTTGACATAACCTTGACATAACCAATGATCGGATATCTTGACCTTGATATAACCTTGACATAACAACCAATGATCGGATATCTTGAACTTGACATAATCTTGACATAACCTTGACATAAACAATGATCGGATATCTTGACCTTGACATAACCTTGACATAACCAATGATCGGATATCTTGACCTTGATATAACCTTGACATAACCAATGATCGGATATCTTGACCTTGACATAACCTTGACATGACCTTGACATAACCGATGATATCGGTGAGGAAGGATCAGAATTTGATTTCGATTCGAAAGTCGGCGATCATTTTCACGATACGTGAATTCATTTCCGAATGTTCGTAACGCGAACCACGTTTCGCGAGAAGGAATTTTAGACGGCGAATACCAAACTATCCAAAATGATCCAACTATTCGTAAAATAGTACATACATTAATGCGCAAACATGTTCCACGGTGTCATCGGGGATCGCGAAATAACCCATGAATTTTTCAAGCAGCATGGAACGCGTGCATCAACAAATATCAGTAATGTATGAGCTCGATTTTCACCGCGAGCAATATTTCCGGCAGTCCGATGAATATTTTTCTCCGGCATTAGATCTCGCAAAGTAGCGAATTATTTGTTTAAATTGCAGGAAGCGTTTGCGCGAACAAATATCATCGGCGTGCCAGCTCGATATTTTTATACGGCCGATGAATATTTGCTGCGGTATTAGATTTTACAAAGTGCCGCATTAATCGTCGACGTTCCAGAAAATATTTGCAACGAGGAATATCGTTGACGCGCGAGCTCGATTCTCGCTGCGAAAAATTCTTCGAACGGCGCAATCAACGTTTTCTCGACCGCGTATCAATTTTAAAGTCTCCAGGCTTCAATTACATTTAATTTAATTGCCATAATTTTTGCCGCGGAGAATGATCCTGCGGTAAAATAATGCAGGGATTAAAAAGTTTCCCAAAATATCGGTTTCGATCGAAACGGTTGCGACGAACCGAAAAAATCTCTATTATAAACTATTATATATATATATATATTTATAATAGTTTATAATAGAGATTTATATATATATATATATATATATATATATATATATAATAAATTTATAACTATTATAAAGTGTACCAGTTTTGATTAACGTCGGTTTCGGCATTTTTAACGGCGATATCGTGTCGATGCTGTAACAGTTATACAGGATGTCCCAAAAATGTCTCGCAATCCGAAAGTGGCGGGTTCCTCGGGTCATTCGAAGCAACTTCTTCCTTTACAAAAATGTTCTCCGAGGCACCGTTAACGAGTTATCAACGAAAAACAGTGACCAATGAGAGGCGAGCTCGGCTGGCGCGAGGCGACCGAGCCAATGCGCGGAACTGGGCTTCGTGCGCCGTACTCGCTTCTTATTGGTCACTGTTTTTCGTTGATAACTCGTTAACGGTGCCTCGGAGAAAATTGTTGTAAAGGAAAAAGTTGCTTCAAATGAGGAATTTATGTAAATATCTATATTTCTTATTACAATAAATATCTGTATTTCTGTTCCGGGAGCGAAACGACGCGACGAAACGGAGCACCGAAGAAAGATTTTCCATCGATCGCGACGAGACCGTCGTTCGACGGTTCGTTTCTCACGGCTTTTCTTCTGTTTTCTGTGCGCGCAGGCGACATAATCAACGATAGGAATTGATGACCCGCCGGGGGCAAGAAGTCTGACCCGATCGAGGGGCCGCTTACCGGAAACGGACGACCAAAAATGTGACGCGCGGCGGACACGCGACGCTCGCCGCTCGAACAGAAGAGGACTGGACGACTATTGAAAGAGCGCGACGCTGGATTCACCGTGAGTATTGTCTGCGAAATGATTTCCTGTCAGCGAAAAGACTCCGCGCGCCGTTGAAAAGAAAGTGTCCGACACTGGATAGGCGGGATTCGCGAACGCATATTGAAATGCAGTCGGCCCCGCGTCCCTGGATTCCCTGTAATTACGCAAATGGTGACAAGAGGCTCGACTTCTCTTCTTCAGAAATAGACGACCTTCGCCGTGAAATCATTTTGGTGTCTGTTAACCCTCCGTCCGTCCGTTTTCGACCAAGGACCGTCCGCATTTTCATTTGCAGCCGCTCCGGACGCTTGCTCATTTTTTTCTCGCGAGTGCGTGAAACCGCGGAGCCCGTTCCGATTTAATTGGATCAATTTGTGGTTTGTCGCGAGATCGAGGTTACGGTTTCTTCGAAAATAGGCTATCTTCGTTAGAAACGCGATCAAAGCGTTCGGCAGTCCTCGGGCTCGGCTCGTTTTCGACCGAGAAGCATGATGGAATTTTCATTTTCCGCCACTCTATTTAGCTCGCTCGTTCCAAAGTTCGTCCGAAGTCTAATATATTGTTGCGAATTACTCCATTTCTCTCGCGTCGCGGCATTTTATTTACAATAAAGAATATTAACAGTAACACAATTCGATGCAATTATATCTTAGATCTTTCAGAAGTGGGATGTTGCTCGTTCGACGGTCCGATCTCGACTTCTCGGTCGTCCGTTGGTAACACTCTTCCGTGGCAACTCCTATCTCCTATTATTCTTTATGGAGTTGTTCACAATAGAGCAGTTTCACATTATTTTCCTCGCGAATCCGCGCGACATTCGTCGCCGTGGTCCGTAGGATTTGATCGAGTCTAGTTTCGGCTGTCACGAAATTGGGGGTTAAAGGCTTAAAGCGGATTCTCGCATCTTCGGAAACGGAGCACCTTCGCTAGAAATTCAATCAAGCGACTTCGACCCTCGGTCCGTCATTCGACCAAGGAACGCCATCGTTCTCATTTCGATCTATCCGTGTTCCAGTTTTTATCGCTGTAACGTACGGAGAATCTTCCCACGAATTTTTTATATTCCTTCCGGAAGGCATACGCCAGAGACTGGCGCCAGCCAGCCGGGGGTTCGTTTGTATATCGCGAGTCGAGTACCTCCGAGGGGGTACGACGAGGAACGTTCTGGAATCGGACCACATAGGAACACCCCCACTATCATTTTTTCACAAAAATCTGACTATATAAAGGGCTCAAACGCGACCGGAAATCGGACTAGTTTCGAGACATTCGTCGACGCGTAAACGTTAGTAAGATCGAGTTCGATTCTCCACCAAGATATATCTCAACCGCTCGAGATATATCTTTATTTCTTTTTCTAACAAAGTTACGAGGCACCCTAATACCAATTTCTCCAAACACCTTATCCCAACCTTAAAGGTAGCCACCCGTGTCGAAATAAACATCGGCTGGTCTACGCACCTCATCCAAAAATTCCAATTGCATGCAACCTCCGGCCACCCAAACTGCTTGGCCCCTCGGCTCGTAACGTCGCGAATCCACGATATTCGTAGTCCATCGGATCCGACGGAAGTTACGGGGGCGGCAACGAAATTAGGGGTCAAAGGCGATCGATCTTCGAGCGGCGATAATCGCTCAATCTTCCGGCAGCCTCGTTCTTATTCGGCACGCGAGAAGCTCGCCCCGTCGCGTTCCTCTTCTCATAAATATGCAAAACCGGTCGTCCAACTAATCGACGGTATTAGCAGGCGCGATTAAACGTTCGCTGTTTCTTTTTCCATCGTGCTCGTGCGCCTCGCCGGTCCTGCTCGCTTCGCACGGATCGAGCAGCGATCGATCCGCGAAAGTTTCGCCGTCGATTTCGGCGTCGCTGAATTTTAATTCGATACCGTCGCCGCCGCGGCTGTCGGCTATAAACGCGCCGGAACAAAGATGTTTTGCGAGCAGCTCTCCGCGCGCTTCGAATCGCAAAAACACGGCCGAAAGCACGGCCGAACAGCGCGTATCGGCTGTCAAGCGCAGCGCAAAATCTGCACGGCTTGTTATGTTCGATTCGATGTAACGAGGGGGTTTGACGCGATCAAAGGATTACAATCGCGTTGCAGATTCTGTTTAAAACACGGCCACGGCGTGTATCATTATCGGCGACGCCGATATTTCGCTGTCGGACGGCCGACGGCTGTCACGAATCGCGCGGTCCAAGCCACCGGAAAAATTCTATTTCTCGTATCGCATCGCGCGATCCCGCCGCCCGAAAAGGCTATCGATCCTATAACGTTTTCGGCGATTCCGCGCCGCTCCGTGGACGCGCGCGATGGCCCACCGATCGCGAATAAATTATTCCGCGGAATCGGCCGGCACAATTGAAATATTCAGGAGACGATTCGAACTGGATTCCCGTCGATGTTCCAATTTCTCTCGCTGTTCTTTTTTTCGTCGATGGCCGCGCGACCGCCGGAATTCGATGTTTCTGGGTTTTTCAAACCGGATGATTAATCGCCGACAGTTATTTCTCGTTCCGGCGGAGCTCGGTTTAATGTTTGCCACGCGTCGGGGAGGGAGGCAGCGAAAAAAAAAAAGAAAGAGGAATCGTTGCGGCGCGGCGCGACGGGGCCGGTTGAAAAATTCCCCTGATGCTTGACCGCGCGCGGACGGTCATTAATCGGCCACGTAATTGGAGGTTTAATTCGTCAGTTTTAGCCGGGATAATGGAGCGTTGCATATTCGATGATTTAAATCACGGGACACCCGTCACGGTAACCAGTTTACGCGGCCCATTGTGCAACCAATCGTCTATTCGAGCCCGCGCGTTCCTCCTCGATTCGGGGACGCGGATGTGTCCGCTTCCGGTGCAGCGACCGACACTTTTCGTACCGTTTAGCGGACTCGTCCGACCGGTTCGACTCGTTTTACAGTAATGTCTCCCTTACCGACGCTCCGGTTGTGTACAGAAATGGACGATTTGGGAAGAGGAGATACGATTATTCGAGCCTCGCGACTCGTTTTTATAGTTGTTGACAATCGATGACAGTAAAAAAACGAGCAACAAGGCTCGAACAATCGTATCTTCTCTTCGAAAATTGTCCATTTTTGTGAACAATCTGAGCGTCGATTAGAGAGACATTACTGTGTGTCCTATACATTCGGTCGGTCCGAAGACGTTGCACCGGTTTTGCCGTTGCAGATCTAACGTACGGAGAATTTCCCCACGAATTTTTTATACTCCTAGATATTGGCTAGATATTGGATATCAGCTGCTAGATCGCTCAACAGAGAGTCATTTTAATACCGGTCCTTGGGGGGCTGATAAGAGGATTCGTCTTTTTGCATCCTGCCATTTATTGCCCGAGGCCGGTTCGGTCGACTATATAGGACAAATCCTGGATATCCTGGTTCAAGGGCATGGCTAAAGATTCGATTCGCATATTTGTGCGGTGCGAGATGTCTGTCTCTCTTACGAAGTATTTGTAACGTACGGAGAATCTTCCCACGAGTTTTTTATATTCCTTCCTAAAGGCATACGCCAGGCTGGCGCCAGCCAGCCGGGGGCTCGTTTGTACATCGCGAGTCAAGTACCTTCGAGAAGGTACGACGACGAACGTTTCTGGAATCGGACCACGTAGGAACACCCCCGCTACCATTTTTCCAAAGAAAATCTGGGTATATAAAGGGCCCGAACGCGACCAGAAGCGGGCTAGTTTCGAGTCAATCGTCGACGTGGAAACTCTAGCGAGATCGAGTTTTAATTCTCTTTCGAGCAAAACGATCGAGTAGGTAATAGATACCGGATCAGAAGCTCCCGCCGATTCGGTGCGATAAACTGAGAGCGCGACAGAGTCCGCGAAACACTTGTAGAGACGCGTTTGTAGTAAAAACCAAAAACTTGTAATACGCTAACTTTTACCAGTTACTTTGGTTAGAAAATTCAATTATTTCCACTTCCTACTTCGAAGCAGTAGTTGGTACAACCCACGGAGATACATCTTTACCGCTCGAGGTATATCTTCGATTCTTTCCTGCAAAAAATTACGAGGCAGCCTAATTCCAAATTTCCCCAAATCCTATCCTGACCTCAAGCTAGCCGCCCGCGCCGAAATAAGCATTGGCTGGTCTACGCACCCTATCCCGATCTCAAGGTAGCCACCCGTGCCGAAATAAGCATCGGCTGGTCCACGAATTTCCCTTAGAAAAATCCCAATTGCATGCAACCTCCGGCCACGAAAAGCTGCCTGGCTCCTCGGCTCGTAACACAGAAGTTCGTCGGACGCAACGCTCAGAAATTCTGCCGACGCAATCTAGGAGAAATTAACGACGAAATGAAATGGAACGAAACGAATGAAAGTCTTCCAGGCGCGTTATTTTCCCGGAATACAAAGCAGAAAAGTAAACGTGGAATGAAACAGCCGGGAACGTTAAAGCCCTCGACACTGAATATTCCAAATAAAGAATGACCGCGGAGAGAAAACAAGGGCTACGCGTTTCCACGGGAAAATACGTAACCCGAATTATTGAAATAATTCCCGTGTATCAACGAGCGCTTCCTTTACACCTGCGTTATTCCCTCGAAACGCGACGGTTGGATCGCGGAACGTCCAATTGTATCTTGCCTTTAACGCGTTATGTGCCCGGTCGTTGTTGCTCGACTTTTCATGCGAGTCGTTCAACGATTCAACGGACTTATTTGTTACGTTATTCTGGCGGAAATATATCCGCCGCTTTCGAACTTATTGGACAATGTCTCTTTCGTTACATATGAGAACCGAATGAATGAATGAAATGTGAATGAAAATGTACTCGTTCAGATCTTTCGCGATTCTTATCGCAATATGCGTCCGATGAATTTTTGCGATCGTTTTTACAATTTCAACGATCGTAAATTAAAAAATTTGGTACACGCGATTTGGAGGCGTTCCGAAAACCTAGCGTTCGCGCAAAATGATCGCAAAAATTCGGTTTACCGGACGGGTTAATCTGACGCGCGGCAAATTTTTTAATTTCCAATTTATCGACACTGTGAA